TTGCTCTCTCTCTCGCTCTCTCTCTCTCTCTCTCTCTCTCTCTCTCTTTCTCTCTCTTTCCTCTCTCTCTCTTTCTCTCTCTCTCTCTCTGCTCTCTCTCCTCTCGCTCGCTCGCTCGCTCGCTCGCTCGCACGCTCTCTCTTTCCCTTTCTCTTTGTTAATTTTTCCACTTGCTCTTACGAGTTGTCATTTTTCATGTACAGACAGCTAGCGCTACACTTTCCGCCTCTGTACTCCACGCTATGATTCGAAACATTCGACTAATGTTTCTTTCCTTAGTGCAGCATCTCATATAAAAAGAATTACGTGCAAATTTACATGACGCCGTCACTAGCCATGCAGTTACATGAAACCTTTCTCAGTCAAAGAGAGACGTTGTTTACTGAGGTAACATGTGAGATTTAGGGAGACAGTGTCTGCCAGCCTAATGCGTGTACGCAGGAAGTGTAAGCTTTTACAGATCCTGCCTCTACCATAAGGTATTGAAAATGGTCAGATAAACTTGAATTGCCAGATTTTTGATGACGAGGGTTAGCACACGCAGGCCTATGCACAAAACCATCAGAAGCAAATGCACGTACGTACACAAGCACGAACGCGCGTACGCACGCGCGAGAGCCGCGAGCACGCTCACAGGCGCCCAAAACATACACGCATAGCTATAATAAAAAAATGTATAACACTTATTATTATTTTTTTTTTTATTATTTTCTTTATTAACAATATTATTACGCTCATTATTGTAGTGACGTAAGAATTACAATAAAGGTTAGAAACACGAGAAAAAATTATCCTACTATATACTTTTTAAACTGAGAAAATATCTTGTACAATCCTTGGAATCAGTAATCCTTTCCGTTCGCACATTAATTGTACTGCCGCGTGTTTATCATACAAGAAATAACATGAATAGCAGCAACACAATAACCCAAATATATCCGCTACATTGAATCGCAGTTGGCCCAGGGAATTAGCTACGTCATGATGACGTCAACGGATTCTTCGCGCGAGCTGCGATTTTCTGCCTACGTCAGCGCGCGCAGCGACACACACACACACACACACACACACACAACACACACACACACACACACGCGCGCACATGCACGCACGCACGCACACACACACACACACACACACACACACACACACACACACACACACACACACACACTCACTCACTCACTCATTCACTCACAAACACACATGCGCGGGCGCGGCGCTCACCCGCTCACGCCAGGCCTTCCGCTTCACGCAGCGCCCTCCCGCTCACGCAGCGCTCTCACTCCCGCTCACGCAGCGCTCTACGCCTCCTGCAGCGTTCGCTCAATAGCGCTCCACCGCCAGCTCTCCGCGCCAGCTCTCGCTCCGCTCACGCAGAAGCTCTCCCGCTCACGCAGAGTCTCCCCGCCCACGTAGCGCTCTCCCGCTCACGCAGCGCTCTCCCGCCTCACGCAGCGCTCTCCGCCCGCTCTCCCACTCACGCAGCGCTCTCCCGCTTTCACGCAGTGCCTCTCCCCGCAGCTCTCCCATTCACGCAGCCTTTCCTCGCTCACGCAGCGCTCTCCCGCCAGCTCTCGCCGCCAGCTCTCCGCTCACGCAGAGCTCTCCGCCCACGTAGCGCTCTCTACCCGCCTCACGCAGCGCTCTCCCGCTCACGCAGCACTCTCCGCTCACGCAGCGCTCTCCCGCCCGCTCTCCCATTCATGCAGCGCTCTCTCGCTCACGCAGCGCTCCTCCTGCCCGCTATCCCACTCACGCAGCGCTCTCCGCGCTCACGCAGTGCTCTCTCCCGCCAGCTCTCCGCTCACGCAGCGCTCTCCCGCTCACGCAGCCGCTCTCCTGCCCCTCTCCACTCACCGCAGCGCTCTCCCGCTCACGCAGCGCTCTCCCGCTCATGCAGCGCTCTCCCGCTTCATGCAGCGCTCTCCGCCCGCCAGCTCTCCCGGCCAGCTCTCCCGCTCACGCATGCGCTCTTCGCTCACGCAGCGCTCTTCCGCTCACGCAGCGCTCTCCCGCTCACGCAGCACTCTCCCGCATCACGCTAGCGCGCTTCGCTCACGTAGCGCTCTCCCGCTCACGCAGCACTCTCCCGCTCACGCAGCGCTCTCCCGCCCGCTCTCTCCCGCTCATGCAGCGCTCTCCCGCTCACGCCAGCGCTCTCCCGCCCCGCTCTCCCCGTCCACGCCAGCGCTCTCCCGCCTCACGCAGCGCTCTCCCGCCCGCTCTCCCTCCACGCAGCGCTCTTCGCTCACGCAGCGGCTTTCCCGCCCGCTCTCCCGTCACGCAGCGCTCTTCCGCTCACGCTAGCGCTCTCCCGCTCACGCAAGCGCACTCCGCTCACGCAGCGCTCTCCCGACATCTTTCCGTTCACGCAGCAGCGCTCTTCTGCCCGCTCTCTCGCTCACGCAGCGTCTCCTGCCCGCCTCTGCTCGCTGACGCAGCGCTCTCCCGCCAGCTCTCACACTCACGCAGCGCTCTCCCCCCAGCTCTTCCACTTACCAGCGCTCTCCCGCCCGCTCTCCCGCGCCCATGCAGCGCCATCCCGCTCACCGCAGCGCTTTTCCGCCCGCTCTCCGCCGTCATGCAGCGCTCTCCGGCCCGCTCTCCATCTCACGCAGCGGTCTCCCTCTCACGCAGCCGCTCTCCCGCTCACGCAGCGCTCTCCCGCCCCTCTCCCGCTCATGCAGCGCTCTCCCGCTTACGCAGCGTTCTCCGCCAGCTCTCCCGCTCACTCAGCCGCTCGTCCCGCTCACTCAGCCTCTCCTGGTCACGCAGCACACTCCCGCCCGCTCTCCCGCTCACGCAGCGCTCTCCGCCAGCTCTCCCGCCCCGCCTCCGCGCACGCAGCGCTCTCCCCGCTCACGCCAGCGCTCTCCCGCTTGCTCTCCTTCATTCACCCAGCGCTCTCCCCGCGCACGCAGCGCCTCCCGTCACGCAGCGCTCTTCCGCTCACAGCAGCGCTCTCGCGCTCACGCAGCCGCTCTGCCTCTCAGCTCGCAGCGCTCTGCCGCTTGCTCTCACCCATTCACCCAGCGCTCCTCCCGCCACGCAGCGCTCTCCCGCTTCACGCAGCGCTCTTCCGCTCACGCAGCGCTCTCCCTTGCTCTCCCATTCACCAGCGCTCTCCCGCTTCACGCAGCACTCTCTCGATATCTTTTCCGTTTACGCAGCGCTCTCCGCTGACGCAGCGCTCTCCCTCCCGCTCTCCTCGCTCACGCAAGAGGCTCTCTTCCCGCCTCTCGCTCACGACAGAGCTCTCCGCTCACGCAGCGCTCTCCCGCTCACGTAGCGTTTTCGGCCGCTCACGCAGCGCTCTCCCGCTCACGCAGCGCTCGCCTCTCACGCAGCGCTCCCGCTTGCTCTCCCATTCACCAGTCGCTCTCCCCGCTCACAGCAGCAACTCTCTCGATATCTTTCCGTTTTACGCAGGCGCTCTCCCCGCTCACGCAGCGCTCTCCCTCCGCTCTCTCGCTCAACTGGCAGCTCTCTCCCACTTACGCAGCGCTCTCTCGACAGCTCTCCCGTTCACGCAGCGCTCTCCCGCCCGCTATCCCGCTCACGCAGCGCTCTCCCGCCCGCTCTCCCCGCTCACGCAGAGCTCTCCCGCTCACGCAGCGCTCTCCCGCTCCACGCAGCGCACTCCCGCCCGCTCTCACGTTCACGCAGCACTCTCCCGCTCACGCACCGCTCTCCCGCTCACGCAGCGCTCTACCGCTCACGCAGCGCTCTCCCCGCTCACGCAGCGCTCTCCGCTCATGCAGCGCTCTCCGACCGCCACTCTCCCACTCACGCAGCGCTCTCCCACCAGCTCTCCCTCTCACGCAGCGCTCTCCCGCCAGCTCTCCCGCTCACGCAGCGCTCCTCCCGCCAGCTCTCCCATTCACGGCAGCGCTCTCGCCGCTCAACGCAGCGCTCTCCGCCGCTCCCCCGCTCACGCAGAGCTCTCCCACTTCACGTAGCCGCTCTCGCGGCTCACGCAGCGCTCTCCCGCTCAACGCCAGCGCTCTCCCGCGCGCTCTCCATTCAGCAGGCGCTCTCAAGCCGCCTCACGCAGCGTTCTCCCGCCAGCTCTCCCGCTACTCAGGCGCTCCCGCTCAACGGCAGCGCTCTCCCAGCTCACGCAGCGCTCTCACCGCGCTCTCCCATTCCGCAGCGCTCTCCCCTTCACGCAGCGTTCTCCACGCCAGCTCTCGCCAGCTCACTAGCGGTCTCCTGCTCACCGTAGCGCCTGACCCGCTCAACGCATCGCAACTTCTGCCGCTCTCCCCGCTTACTTCAAGAGGTTTCCCGCTTACGTAACACTCTCCGTCCACCAACGCTCTCCCGCCCGCTCTCCCGCTCACGCAGCGCTCTCCCGCTCACGCAACGCTCTCCCGCCCGCTCTCCCGCTCACGCAGCGCTCTCCCGCCAGCTCTCCCACTCATGCAGAGCTCTCCCGCGCACGTAGCGCTCTCCCGCGCACGTAGCGCTCTCCCGCGCACGCAGCGTTCTCCTGCTCACGCACCGCTCTTCCGCCCACGCTACCGACGGCGGCTCCGTCATTCGCTATATACGTTTTCGTGTTTTCCCGGTTCGTTACGCCGATGACGCTGCACGGCTGACCTCTTTGCGACCTCTAGCCAGTATTTGTTACAGCAGCAGCAGCGCCACCGACCGCACACGGGCGGCGACACAAGAGGCGGTGACATTACCTGAGCAGGCAGACGAAGCAAGAACGCGATCGACTGATCATCGGCAAGCAGAAGATACCGTCACTCGATTATCGCTGCGTATCATATCAAACATTCACTCACTCACCGAGTAACTCACGCACTCCTCCTCGAATTCTCTACTTCTCTCCCTCCGTCTCGCCAGCGCGCTCTCCATCTCTCTCAGTCTTTCTCTTACACTACCTCAGCGCTGTTGCTCATTACGACGCTCCGCTACCTCCGCCGACGCTGATAACGTAACGGACTTTGGAACAAGCGACGTCGCTGAGAACGTCCCAAGAGAAACAATCGACCGCGGAGCTATGTCTGCTGCCACATACGTGACAGCTGGGTTACTCTTGCTGATGCTTGCAACCTCCGGTAAGCGTTTTAGTCGTCGAATGCGTGTGTGCGTGCGTGCGTGCACGTATGTAACTATTTATTTAGATATCTGCAAAGTTGGATGTGTGTCGCGTTTTGTGCTACATAGTTTTCGCGTTTTGCTTACGCTACTGTCGGGTGTGCTAACATATATCTGTGTTCACACATATCTGGGTGATAATTGTGCTACCAAGCCTTGACATGTCTGCCTGCTCGAGGTGCTAGCGTGCGTTTCAATCTTTTACATCCATCCAAATTTTATCGTGAAGGTAGTTCAATCGTAGCTTGGCGATCGTAGCATGCACAAACTCGCACAGCGGCGAGATTGACTCACTTTCGTTCGCATTGTTTCTAACGACACGACGGCATTGCTCTCGTGGTTAGCCTTTGCTGCATTTATATATTGGGGATCAGAGTTTGATTGCGACACATCATACGCGTATCTCTGGAAATAAAACCTGTTTAGCTTAAGCGATTTATCGAGATACTTCACAATGTCTAGACTTTACTCGGTTTACATCTCTCCGCCGAAATAATAGATTTCCATCTACATTATACGTGTTTATTAATTTTATAGCTTAATATGTAAGTGAGATCCATTTCTCTACGACAAGACATTTCTTTCTATCTCTTATTTATTAATGTAAGTGTTATTAGTATCCTACATTTTGTTGTTTATATCACCACATATTTCAATTTACTTTATATCTGGCTAGCGCCTACCTAATATTTACTGCTACCTTGTATTTTCTGCCTAGTACCAATGACTGCGATCGTGTAGTAGTTTACAATATGACTAAGACAGTGATTGCCAACGCGCATTTGTTCAGCATCATTTCTTCCAAAACATCGATCCACACTCACTCACCACACATGTACACTCACTCACTACACATGTACACTCGCGCACCACACATGTACACTCACTCACCACACATGTACACTCACGCACCACACATGTACACTCACGCACCACACATGTACACTCACTCACCACACATGCACCTCCTCCTCCTCCTCCTCCTCCTCCTCATCATCATCATTATCATCATCACCACCACCACCACCATCATCATCATCACCATCATCATCGTCGTCGTCGTCATCATCAACGAAATCGAGATTATCCGTCATGGTGTAACTTCGCGTACAGGTCAGTGAATTCTTTTGCGATATAAATTAACGAGTAGAGAGACAGCGAGGTTCTCACCACCTAAATAGCGACCTTAATAGGTCCTAAATAGGTCCTAAATAGGTATCCTAAATAGGTCCTTCTGAAATCGCTTGTAGTACCAAATGCACATGTCTGTCTTTGCCGTTTCTTCTTCTTTGCCAGTGATGTATATATAGCGTGTCCCTTACGTTGCTTGCAAAACCCGAGTCGAACTGTCAGCGGCACCAAAAATGTAGCGTTGAATTTACACCAAGATTTGAATGAAATAATTTAGAGTAAAATAATCAAAGACGAAGTAAATTAATATTGTAAATATATTGTTTACAACTAATATACAGATCTCTACACGGTACACGCTAATCGAATGCCAGAACTCAACTCCACTCCCGACCTGTCTTCAAATTTCTATTGATATGCAAACTCTCCACCAATCACAAACAAGTTCAAACTCCTCCTAACCAATCACACACAACTACCTAGCTCTTTGTCCTTTCAAAACTCCCTGATACCCATCTGTCTACACTCAATCTGCACCCATGTCTAGACTAATATTCCTAAACTAAAGCTGGCAGCACACTTCACCATTTCCGTTGCTCGTACAGGCAATTTTCGTGGTCGGCAATTTTTGTGGCCTTTGCTGCGTCACAGCACACGTTGCTGTTGACGGCAATTTTTGTTCACTGCGATTCCTTGCCACAGGTAGCCTATCATGCTACTAAATGCCAGACAATAATTATTAATAGTAGGTAGATGAATCAATCTAGGCCTATTAACTTATAAAACAACTTAAAATATTCAATCTTTTATTGATAATTAAATTTATTAACAAAATAAATACCTGTATACAATATTTGAAACTCATATAAATATACAACATGATGCACATGTAACAAGTTACAGTAGTCAGTCCATAATAGAGGGGTTCTACTGTATAACATTTTGAAATCATGTGACGGCAGCGCTAATTTTGATTGGTCTGCGAGTGATTTTGTTGCTAATTGCCGTGGTGGCTTGGCGCACACTTCACCACAAGTTGCCACCACGAGCAATTTTCGTGGTGAGAAATCAAACCGGTTTGATTCTCGGCAACTTGTGGTCACCACTAAATTTCCGTGGTGAGTGGTCGTTGCCGGCCCCCGCACACTTGGCCATTTTTTACACTCACTCACCACACATGCACATACACGCACAACACATGCACATACACGCACCACACATGTACACTCACGCACCACACATGTACACTCATGCACCACACATATACACTCATGCACCACACATGCATATGTACACTCACGCACCACACATGTACATACACGCACCACATATACACATCATATGCACAGACACGCACCAACACTGACTATGCAGCCACACGGACACAATCTACGGGTAGAGATTCCGGGATGAATAGAAGACAGACAGTGATCACCCCCCCCCACCAGCATGGTATACACGCAAGATTAATTCTCAGCCGACACTCTAGGGTAGCGGGTGGCTCGGGTTACCTTTTGTAACAATTTTAAAACTTAATTCTAAGGATAGATTCGTAACAGAGAAACAAACAATAAGCAATATTCTGCCAAAAACAGTTCGAACGATTCTATTATTCTGTGTAGTCAAAGCTTCTGGATAGGTATTATACAACATTGTTAGGAAATTACGACAAGTTATTATGAATACTCTGGCTTTGCAAGCCTCGTCTCGCCTTTTAAATACACAATTGGTGACATCTGTCACGTGTCTCGCTTATCATTGGGATTCGCTTTACATCCAAATAATACATAAAAACTAAACTAAACTAAATACATAGGTCAATAAACGAAACCCGTCAATAGAGCACGGTATCCGTTCAAGGTCACTTTCATCGTAAAATAATGAGCAGATTATAAAAAGTAAATATTTCTCCAAACGCATGGATATCACCTCATTTTAAGAAAATTAGTTGGTCAATTTGGCAGGGATCTGCACCAGTGAAGTCACCATAGATGACAATATCAAAAAGATTAATAGCACCTGATTTTAACAAACTTAATTCTTTACACCATGTTATACATTATATCCGAATGTATACACATACAAATTACAATTTTAAAAATACAAATGAACGAAAATGAACCACTAATAGTGTGTGTTGTGCTGCTTTTGAGATTCAACTGACAACTGAGTGCATAGTAAAAAAATGTATAAATTTGGCATAGTTTTACCTGGTATTAACAAAATTTTGGCCTTTGTCCGCTAGATGGCTACATTCGCGGGAATTCGGATGTTCTACTTTTCTGACATCACCCCACTGCTAAAATTATCGCCCGTATTAAGGTCTATTTATCGTCATTATATCTACAAATATGGGTGGATTTAACAAATATAGATAAGCCTATATATGTTGGTGTCCGATACACGGGCTATACACTGAGATCGGTGGTGTGGGCTTGATGCTCACCGCGGCGAAGATTACCGCGTCAGAAAATCAGCTTCCCTCTCTTATAATATATATATATATTGTATCAAGAGCTAATAATCATATACATATATATACATATACATACATACATACATACATACATACATACATACATACATACATACATACATACATACATACATACATACATACATACATACATA